TACATTTGCATCCTATTACAGTAAGGGTACCTCTCAACAAGAATGCTACCACAACAACAACCCTGTTACCTACAACCTTTCAACATCTATGTTTCCTAGCTCTCAACAACAGACTTGCTATACATTCCCTACCTTTAGCCTCATTGATTATCCATCAACACCTATGTTGCCTGAATCTCGGCAACAATCTCACTGCGCATTCCCTATGTATAGCTTCACTGCTTATCCCTCAACATTGTTGTTGTCTGGCTCTCGACAACAGTCTTGTTGTATATCCCTTAGCCTCGTCTCTTATCCCTTAGCGTCTCTAGGGCCTGGAGTTTAGCAATAGCCTCGCTACGTAACCCCTACTAGCTGCTTAACCGCCCAGCTCCCAGAATCTCTTCCACTTATAGTATAGTCAACAACCTTACAGCTTATAGGTTTGACAACATCCATCTCAGACAAGAGTCTTGTTACCTTCGTTGTGTATTGTTACAACAACCCTTCCTTATACACCATAGTCTGATCTGGCTACCTACGCTACCCATATCAGACTGTGGGGAATCCAACTAGGTATAGCCCAAGCAGAAAACACCTTCAGGACGGTTATTAATGCTCATGCAAAGCAGACTATGTAGATGGTTATCGATGACATTCCATCTGCAGGAATAACATCTGCTTCGGATAATAGTCTCAGGGACTGAATGCCGAGCTTACGCTTTTTAGCTACCTTGTCATTGTTGTGTAGTAGCCCCGCTCTGCATAACATCATCAACAACCTTGTTCTACATAATGGCGGTAACTGCTACATTGCATCTCACTGATTGGATCGTACTCTAAACAAGGAACGATCATTTAGCCAGCCCATGCTTGGCTCATTGCGCATCACCATAGCTCTTGTAGGCGAGGTTTGGTCATTCTATTTATTATTTGATGCATTGGTTCTTTATCTAGTCCGATCTGATTGTCACCAATCCAATCACATTAGACTAAGGAAACTTGATGCCACACGGTTTATATGACTGACTCTAGTCCAATGTCATTAGTGACGTACCAATAACAACGAACTAGGGGGACTTGATGATATTAGGCCCATTAGCATGGTCCAGACAACTCTGACACACCAGATTTGCCTGGCGCTCTCTTGCCAGCCATGCCTAGTGCTCCGTTGCCAGCCTTTCTTGGTGCACACCCCGCCAGGCTTGCCTGGTGTGTGGCCGAGCCTGGTGCGTGGCCGCTAGCCTCACCTGGTGCATGCCCGCCAGCCTCGCCTGACACTCCTAGGCGTCCTTGTCCACCTCCTTGCTAGTTGGGCTTGAATTGGGTTGGCCTAAGGCCTATCGTAATTACCCTTGACCTATTTGTCCCCCTTTAAAGTTAATAATATTTCCTCCATGGAGGAGGATCCTCCCCTTTGGCTCAACTGTCACCCTCAACTCCAGCCGAGTGGCTCACTCGCCACCCTCCGCCTTCAACTAACATACATCACCCCCAACACCAAGATGGTCCTCTCCATCTGAGGAAAACCATCTCACCTCTACCAACCAATCTAACTTGATCGTCGGAGCCTGCTCCCGGGGCACCGTCCCTAGGGTGGTTCTAATGGTCTTGTCTGTTGTGCCCTTGCAGATTCCTTCCGGCGTAGGAGCACATCCTTAGAGCAGGTGGTCGGAGCCGATGTCACATTAACCTATGTTTTATACAAGTCAATTATACATAAGTAACTTGTGCGTTTCCATCTATACATAAACCTGTGAATATACAAGTCACTTATGCATGATTACAACGAATGTACAAGTCCCTAATACACACACAACTTATACATCAGGCCCTTCATATGCGCTTTTGTACCCTCCAGACGTGATTTCCTCTCGTTCAAACTATTTAGATCCAATTTCCTCTCCAAAAGTCAGAGTTTCGTTTTTTGAGAAGAAAAATCATACATAAACCTATCATGCATGTATAAAACCTAATAAAAGAGGATTAAAACATGAAATATGTAGAAAACATACCAAATTTTTGGAAGAATATTTATCTTCACCCATTAGAATTAGAAATAGTTAAGAGGATTTCTTGAAATTGAAAGTGTGAAAATGAAGATTATTTCCAAAATTTAGGGTTTATACTTTTGGCACATGAGCCTATTTTATTTCCCAACAAGGCAAAATCACAATTGGAGAGAACCGATTTTAATTTCATAGCTGACGGTAATCACTTATGAAATGAATGGCTATTTTTGGAAAAACGTTAACTTTTTGCTATTACTTCCTTCGTTCCAAAATTATAGTTTATCTTTCCTTTTTGGTTTGTCCCAAAATAATAGTTCACTTCTAAAAATAAATAATATTTTTACCAAAATACCCCCTTATTATTACTTAACCAATTAAGCTTTTAATGAACATTAAATGCAAAGTAAGGTCACAACTGTAATTTTATTATATAAAGTTAGTGGTAATTAATATTTTTTTCTTAATCTATGTGTTTTTTATCTATAGACAATAATAATGGAACGGAAGGAGTAGTTAAAAATTCATTAAGGTATTTGATAAAATTTTAATTTTCTCTAAATAAAAGAGAGCCTTGATAGGTCATTTACACATCGTCCAATAATCCACCACACTTACCGACCATCAACACGTAAGGAAGTAGGAAAGAAGTTTGTTTGGTTAGATGTTTAGCAACTCATGTTTCTTACATTTTATGGATTAATGATTGAAGATTACATATTTAATACTGTCTCCAACACTGAGGTAGTATTCTAATTACACTATGATTGATTGTTTGTTGATTTATTACGTTCTAATAAGATCCATGATCCATATTATTTACAAATTTTAAATTGTTATTGCTCTCTGTTGTTTGTAATAGTTCTAATAACAGCTACCCGGGAAATTTTAAATACACCCACAAAAAAAAAAAGTCAAAACCACCTCATTAAAACCATTAATAGTAAATTTAGTTAAAAAATATTAAAATGTAATGATAGTCCATTCAAATGACAGATTACCGGTGACGACTATTTAAATGTTTTTGTTTAGAGTAAAATAAATAAATAATCCTTTTGCTTTAGTTTGAATTTCTGTTTTGTTTCCTAATAATTTATTACTTTTAGTTCTTGTTTCCTATAAAAGCATTAACTTATTTTTTCTTCTTTTTTATGTTCTTTTAACAATTTATTATTATTATTATTATTATTATTATTATTATATAACAATTTTATTTGTTCTTTATTTTAATAGAGTTTGTTTCATATAAATTTTTTTATTTTTTCAAATTATATATATATATATATATATATATATATATATATATATATATATTATATATATAATTTTCATTCGTTAACCTAAAAAAAAACTATTTTTACGTGTTTAGTTTTATATATTTGTTGGTATAATTTAAGGTGGTTACTATTTTCTTTTGTTATTTTTTTTTAAATTACATGGTTTTTTTATAAACTTTTCGGTTTAAATTCGAGTTTGTTTATATTTCGAACAATATAAAATAACAATCACAAACAATTAAACGAATAATAAAAAATATAATATGATATTTTTCACAACTATAACAAATAATATAACATCAATTACATGAATATCACAATTATTACGTGGTGCATTCAGTGAAATATATGCATTAAGTCGAGCATTATACAATATTTCTCATCAACATCATCATCTTCTAATTGGATGCATGGATCTAAATTGATTTTTTTTCCAAAAATTATGAATGGAATCAAGTGGTATTGAATTTTTATTTTTTAAATATACCGCTTGTTTGTGCGCACTTGGTAGCTCATGACTAGTACACAAGTGACATCCACAAATTTCAAGGAATTTGATTTGTTCAAATGCCTTGAAAATTATTTCAAGTGCATAAATTGAAACACTACCAACCAAATAACTGAAAATTGGATGGACGAAACGATGCCGGACAATAATCATGCTTTGCCCTAACCTTGCTTTGATAGCATAGTCTTGTGACTGAACACCATCATGAATTCTTGGTAATATCGTCGCTAAATATGATTGTGATGAGTCCAAGTATAATTTTACTTTGGCATGCTGACTCTCAACTCTATTGGTTGTGTAATTCCCAAAATGGAGAAATACATCGATCCAAACAGATACAAACTTTTCTTTATATTGTGTCAATCGTGTTTTCTTCAAATAAGTAATAACTTCTGAAACATAATACACTTACATATTGATGTTTTTTTATCGAGTGAAACATTTTGAACCTATTTGAAAAAATAAATTACAAAATTAATAGATAATTATAGATATATATTATAAATAAATAAATAATAAATGTGTATTCGGCTTTTTAGGACTATTCGGTTCTTATTTGATAAACCAAAACCAATCTGTAATCCAAAATAATAATTTGGTTTTGTGGAAAACCAATCCAAATATTCAAATATCCGAACCAAATAGTCATATCCAAATTGTCCAACTGAACAATTCAGTTTTATCCAAATAGCAAACAATCCTATCAATCAGTTAATCGCAACTAACTCAATAATCTTGAAAATTAGTAAAAATTATAATATTAGTCATCTTGACCGGAGATTTTAATTTACTGCCAAGTATTATTATAATATTATTTTAATCAATCTGATGGGAAATTATAGGTTAAATGGATAACTATCGAAACTAATAAACATGCCTTATATTGGTATTATAGCCCCCATAGGTTCCGCCAATGCGGGTAGCAGAGAGATCGAAAAAAGAAAGAAAGTCTAGGAGACGGGAAGAGGCTCAAAAATATAATTTTTTTTTTTTTAATTTTAAATTTTAAATTTTTTTAATTTATTTTTTAATTTTATTCTTTTATCATCAACAATGTCAATGTATATACAATACAATAACCTCATATATGGAAAGGAAATCGTTATATTCAAATACTATAAGATAAGTATAATGATCAAATCCTGAGAAATACTAATACCGGACACATTCAATAAGAACTTCACTGCACACAATTCGTCTTCCTCCCTCCATAACGAGAGACAATTAATGGCTGCAGACATCATCTGCGAAAACCTACCCAATCTTGTATCATCATTCGTGGATACCTTCGTTGACTTCTGCGTAACCGGAACCTTTTTACCCGATCCTCCATCTCCTCCCTTTACTCAAACCTTCTTCCCTTCTCCTAAGCGTCTAACAGCCATAGGCGATCTCCACGGCGACCTTCGTAAATCCAAACAAGCACTCCGCCTCGCTAGTCTCATCGACTCCGAGGACCAGTGGTCTGGTGGCAACACCACTCTTGTACAAGTCGGCGACGTCCTCGATCGTGGTGGACATGAACTCAAAATCCTTTACTTTCTCGAGAAACTAAAACGACAGGCTGCTAAAGTCGGCGGCAATGTCATCACCTTGAATGGCAATCACGAAATCATGAATATTAATGGTAATTTTCGGTATACTCATCGATCTTATGTTGATGAATTCCAAAACTGGGCAGATTGGTTTACTACAGGCAACAACATGAAGCGATTATGCGATGGATTAAAGAAACCTAAAGATTTATACGATGGGATTCCTTCAAGTTTTCCTGGCATTAAAGAAGAATATGTAAATGGGTTTAGAGCCAGGATTGCTGCATTGAGACGTCAGGGTCCTATAGCAAGTAGGTTTTTATCAAAAAACATGACTGTGCTTGTTGTAGGGGAATCCGTGTTTGTTCATGGAGGGATATTACCCCACCATGTATCTTATGGATTGGAACGGATTAACGAAGAGGTGAGGGATTGGATTACTGGTTTGAGAGAGACTGTATCATCGGATATAGTTAATACCGAGAATTCAGTTCTTTGGTTACGAAAATTTTCTAACAAAGTGGTTAATGATTGCGACAGGAGTATGCTGGAACATACACTTGCGACAATTCCAGGTGCAAGGAGGATGATCATGGGTCATACTATTCAAAAGGGTGGCATAAACGCAGCTTGCAATAACAAAGCGATAAGGATTGATGTTGGTATGTCTAATGGGTGCATTAACGGGCTGCCTGAGGTTCTGGATATTAGTGAGGATTCTGGTCTGCGAATCTTAACATCAAATCCAGTTAAGAAGAGGCGTGATTTGAAGGTCCCTGTGCAGCAAGAAACACGAGTACCGGGGAAATGCAAGTTGTGGCTTAAGCCTATTTCTATTTGATTACAATTGAATTTTTGGACTAAAGATGTACATAGTGGTAGTTGTTAACTAAATGGCTTCTAACCCAACAATATTAGATGTTGTCCTCTCTTCTTGAGGTTGAGGATTCAAGTCTTGTTGGAGATATATATATGAACTTAGGAGTAATATAATAGGAGTAGGTTAGATTTGCTTTTAAAAAAAAATAATAAAAAACTAGAAAAACCAAACCACTTGGATTGTGCTGACTTGGTAAGACATGAGGAAGATATGATGAATAACCTATTGACATATGTTCAAATCCTGACACTACTCAACCTCTATGGTCATCGAGGTTCGTCTGCAGTGACTCCAGGATATGAGACATAGTCTCATGTTTGCAGCGGGAGATTAGTCGGTGCGCGAAGGCTGGCCCGGAAACCCTCGTCAGGGTAGTTCCCTTTGAAAAAAAAAAACTAAGAAACCATTGAGATTAAAAGTATAGTTAACCACTTGGGTTGTGGTGACTTGGTAAGGCATGTGGAAGATATGGTGGATAACATATTGACTCATGTTCAAATCCTGGCATCACTCAGTCCTTGTGGCCATGGAGGTTCGCCTGCAGTGGCTCCAGGGCATGAGGCAAAGCTTTATGTTTGCAGCGGGGGATTAGTCGGTGCGCGAAAGCTGGCCCGGAAACCCTCGTTAGGGAAGTTCCCTTTAAAAAAAAAAGTATAGTTAAGAAAGTTCAGATTTTAATTTGATTTAAATTGAGTTTCTAATTTATTATCATGACACTATGGCTGATGACTTCAAGAACGATTGTTAGTTCATATTTACACATTGACACAGAATTAGAGTACACAAAGGAAAGTATTATAAGATTTACAAAAGGGGAATTTGATTGATCTAAAGTTACTTTGTGTTAATAAAATATTTTCCCATGAACTTAATGCATTATCACATAGATGGGCTATACAAGACATAGGGGCTTCTACATAAGATACAACAAATGCATATATATTCGCCTAACATTTCCCAGCAATCGTAATGGAAGATCTCGAACGAACTCTGAAGTCAAGAAATAGAGATGACGAAAGCCTTTTGGTGAAAATATTTGCGTAGAGATGAAGGAAGCGAGGAAGGAACATGAAGCACACAAATATGACCCATATCAACCTTGTCTCGGACGAAATTATGTCAATCTCGATGTGTTTAGTGTGACGTAGATCAAGATTTGTGGATAAGTAAACCACACTAATATTATCACAGTACACTAGAGTAGAGGAAATTGATGGATAGTAGAGCTCAAGAAGTAAATTGCAAAGCCAACATGTCTCTGTTACAATATTCACAACACCACAATACTCGGCTTTAACATTGGACCGGGGAAATTGTGCCTTGGCACTTAGAGGACCATGAAAGAAGGTTTTTACCCAAAAAGATACAATAATTGGAGTTTGATTTTTTAGTGGTTGGGCAACCTGCCCAGTCAAGTCAACGTCAGAGTATGCCATCAGACCATGAGAGGGAGTGACATATAATTGTAAACCATGATCAAGTGTACCACAGAATTATCATCAAATGCTCTTGAGAACCGTCAAGTGAGGCTCTCAGGGATCATGCATGAATAAACACACTTGCTGAACAACCTAAGTAATGTTTGGTCTGGTGAAAGTCATATAATGAAGAGAACATGCAAGACTTCGATAAAGAGTCGGATCAGAGATACGAGCTCCAGTGACATCAAACTTGCTTGACGTGTCAGCTGGCATGCAATTATATTTATAGTTAAGCATCTTAGCCCGCTCAAGAATCTATGTGGCATATTTTGCTGAGATGAAAATATGCCATAACAATCACTATTGACTGCAATATCAAGGAAATTGTTCAAAGAGCCGAGATCGGATACGGTAAAATATGAATGAAGAGTAGTAATAACCTACTGAAGGAGGCTCGTGGAACATCGAGTCAACACAATATCATTAACATAGAATAAAAAAAATAAGCAATCTAGTTACCTTGCCTATATATGAAGGGAGAGGAATCTGATTAGTTTTTGATGAAGCTATAACTAGTGATGAAGTTAGCAAATCTAAGGTACAATGCCTGAGTATCTTAATTGAGGCCAAAGAGAGACCATTGAAAAATGCATACATGATTTGGAAAGGTACGGTCACAAAATGCAGGAGGCTGATGCATGTAGACAGTCTCATGGAGATGGTCGTGAAGAAACACGTTCTTTACATCTAATTGATGAACGAGCTAATTGTAATATGTAGCCTGGCTGAGGACAATCTGAATGGTTATAAGTTTGACAACCAAACTAAAGGTCTCGTCACAATCAATACCAGGTTGTTGGCTATGTCGGAATGCAACAAGGTACACCTTCTACCGAGCTAAGGACCCATCTGCATTATATTTAATTTTAAACAACCAAATATTGTTAACAATTTTAACATAGAGGGCCGAGACATATATATATATATATATATATATATATATATATATATAATATATATATATATATATATATATATATATATTTATAAGTTCTGTTAGATATAAGTGCATTGTATTCTTCGGTCATAACATTAAACCAATTGAGATCTTGGAAGGCGTGGGAGTAGAATCGGGTCGAGTCAATGTGAATGTTTAGTTTTTGTACTGGTTTGGAGATGTCGTGTCTAGCACGGGTGACCATGGGGTGAGAATTTATAGGAAGGATCTTGGGAGATGGTTTTGTCAAGGTGGTGCTTTGGTTACCAAGGGGTTGATAGAGGTTGATGTAGGTGGTGATGGGGAGTGGAGATGGGGTCATCGATAGGAAGTTATCGCCATAATTAGGTTCGACGGATATGGGTGTGACATTAATAGGTTGAGATGAGCGGTTTGTTAAAGAATTTTTAGAATGGTGTATCATGTTGAAGATTGGTAGATGGAAACATATTTAATAAGTGCGGAGCCATATGAAGAGCTTCCACCCAATATGTGGGAGGAACATAGGCTTGAAACAAAAGGGTGCAAACAACATTATTAAATGTTTGAAGCATGCGTTCAGATTTTCCGTTTTGTTAGGATATGTATCTACAAAATACACATGTAAATAACAATACAAATGTGTTAATGTGAATAAAGAGAGAATAATTGTATGAAAAATTAGACGGTTTTCAGTGATATTTATATCGGTAAAAATTAAATAAAAAAATGAAAAATCAAAATTAGTTGTTACAATGGTCAACCATCAAGTCAAAGCAAAGAGTTTTCACTAGTTGTGGTCTCTCGTTGTCTACACCATATTGGACAACGATCACGAGCCAAAACGAAAGACCTCGATGGTGTTTTTAGCCGTGGTCCGTTGCCGCATAGACCGCTGCAAGACAGATTTAAGAAGGGAGTAAAGGGGTCTATGCCCACAATGGTTTAAATTTTTTTATATAGATATATGTATTTTCCCCATTTTTGTACATAGGTATATATATATTTTCCCCGTTTAAAATTGTTTCTTTGACATAGAGTGCCGTTTTGAAATTCTAGATCCGCCCTTGGAACACGGAAACCTCTATGATACCGAATGGTCTAATCACAATTTCTTGAATTTCATTATAATAATATATGGCTACTTTCGGAGAAAGTCACGCTACCTTCGGAGAAAGTTCGTGACTTTACAGTCAATATTGGAGATCGATAAACAAATGCCCGACACATACAAAAACAACTCCACTACACCCATTTCTTCTTCCTTTCTTCATAACAAGAGACAATGGATGCAGACAACACCTGCAAAAACCTGCCCAATCTCTATTCATCATTTGTCGACACTTTCATCGACTTTTCGGTCAGCGAGATCTTCCTACCCGACCCACCATCTCCTCCCATTTTTCAAACCTCCTACCCTCCCCCTAATCGTCTAATAGCCATAGGTGATCTTCATGGTGACCTTCACAAATCCAAACAAGCCCTCCGTCTTTCTGGTCTCATCGACTCCCAAGACCAGTGGTCCGGTGGCTCCTCCACTCTCGTACAAGTCGGAGATGTCCTCGATCGTGGTGGACAAGAACTCAAAATCCTCTACTTCCTCGAGAAACTAAAACGACAGGCTGCGAAGGTCGGCGGTAATGTCATCACCATGAACGGCAATCACGAAATCATGAATGTTTATGGTGATTTTTGGTGTACTCATCAATCTGGGCTTGATGAATTTCAAAATTGGGCTGATTGGTTTACTATAGGCAACAACATGAAGCGATTATGCGATGGACTAGAGAAACCTAAAGATATATACGATGGGATACCTACAAGTTTTCCTGGCGTTAAACAAGAATATGTAAACGGGTTTAGAGCAAGGATTGCTGCATTGAGACCTCAGGGTCCTATAGCAAGTAGGTTTTTGTCTAAAAACATGACTGTGCTTGTTGTTGGGGAGTCCGTGTTTGTTCATGGAGGGATTTTACCTCACCATATTGATTATGGAATGGATAGGATTAACGAAGAGGTGAGGGATTGGATTACTGGATTGAAAGAGACTGTATCTTCGGATTTAGTCATGTCCCGAAGCTCAGTTGTTTGGCTAAGAAAATTTTCTAACGAAGTGGCTGAAGATTGCGATTGTAGTATGCTGGAACATGTTCTTGCGACTATTCCGGGTGCAAGGAGGATGATCATGGGTCATACAATTCAAAAGGGTGGTATAAACGCAGCTTGCAATAACAAAGCGATAAGGATTGATGTTGGTATGTCTAAGGGGTGTATTGACGGGTTGCCTGAGGTTCTGGAGATCAGTGAGGATTCTGGTCTGCGAATCTTGACATCAAATCCGGTGTATGATCAGAATAGGGGGGATTTGATGATGCCTAAGCAGCATGAAACACGAGCAATGCAGGTTGAGGCTTAATCATAATATTCTCTTTTATTACAATTGAATTTAGCGCTCAAGATGTACACATTACTGAGTCTTGTTAATCAATTAGAGAAGTATTTAGATTGTAAGCATAGTTAAGAAAGTTCTGATTTTTATTTGATTTAAGTTGTGTTTGATGTTT